CTTTTGCATGGACACCATGCTCCAACAGCATCAACACTACCATGACACGACCGGTATGGCAGGCATAGTGCAGTGGTGTCCGGCCATACTATGGGATGATGCCTCAGCATTAGATACAGCGTTATCATATGTTGTAGGTGTACCATCATAAGACGGAAGAGCAAGTGGGAGGTACTGACGTCGTCCATGGCTTTTGCATCAGCGCCATGTTCCACCAGCATTTCCAACACCTTGACATAGACTTGATCGCAGGCATAGTGTACTGCAGTCCGGCCATACTGTGGGAGATGATGCATCGGCATTGTTGACAGGTGCAACAACATCATCATTATGTTACAGGTGTACAGAAGGTACGGAAAAAGGGAGGCACTCACATCGTCCCTGGCTTTGGCATCAACACCGTGTTTCAACAGCATTTCCACCACCTTGACATGGCCCTTCTCGCAGGCATAGTGCAGTGGAGTTCGGCCATACTGTGGGATGATGCATCAGCATCACGCACAGGTACAAACACATCATGCTACAGGTGTGTATAGAATCAAGGGGGGGGGGGGGAGCAAAGAGGGAAGAGGAGGGCTCTAACGTCGTCCTTGGCTTTTGTATTCACACCGTGCTTCAACAACATCTCCGCCACTTTGACATGACCTCTAACACAGGCACTGTGTAGCGGTGTCCATCCTTTCTGCGGATGATGCATTGACATGAAGTACAGGAACAGACAACTAGCATCACGTGTTGCAGGTGTACCATCATATCGGCGTAAAGGGGAGAGAAGAGGAGGTACTGACGTTGGTCTGGGCTTCGGCATCAACGCCGTGCTTCAACAGCACCTCCACTACCTTTACATGGCTCCGAAGGCAGGCACAGTGCAGTGCTGTCCAGCCATCCTGTGCCAACGAAAAGCAAGCAGACAAACCCAAAAGCACAAAACCGCTCAGATGGACAGCTTCAAAGCCATGATCACACAACAAAGCCCATGCGAAGCAACATACGTACCAGAATATCACGGTTCAAAGTGGCGGCGGCATCTCGAATACGTCGTGGATCCCAACTGCTCAACAGCTGCAGCGCCCTTTGTGGATCTGATGTCAAGCACGCCCTCAACAGCTGCTCTCCATCATCACTCATGATAACGATGTCTCTCCATCAGCAACAACCTTCCCACCACAAAAGTCCCGAGGGGGCTCCTCTAAGTGTTTCAATCCGAAACCACAGCACGGGCAGGGCAGCGGGCTGAATGGCGAGCGTTGCGCACTGTGGGTAGCAAGGATATGTTCATGACTGACCGTAGCTTGTGCTTCGTGTGGAGAAACAAACGGAGAGCTGCTTTCTTCAAACGCATTGTCGATGGTCGGTGCAGAAAGTGAGTGAGATCTCACGTCGTGTCGC